GGATTATTTATTTCTTTACTTTTCTAATTCTTTTGTTTCCTATGAATTTAATCTTAAGTATCTGTACTTAGGTACCTTTGTACCTAAGATGACGCTGTAATGCAGCGACTGTAAACTTTTCACTGTGCTTATTTCAGTGCATGTGACAATAAAGCTAATTCAATTTAAGCAATGGCCATTTCCAATAAGAGAATCTAACCATTGCCCCTTAACATTAAATGGCATTACAATCTCTGAAACCCGACTATCAACATCCTGGACCAGAAATTGAACTGGACTCACCAAGAGGAGGTCAGAGGTTAGGAATCCTGCAGTGAGTAACTCACCTCCTGACTCCACAAAACATCATTTACAAGGCACAGATCAGGAGTGTGGTGGAATACTTCCCACTAGTCTGGATGATGCCAGCTCCACTGACCTTCAGGAAGGTTGGCACCAACCAGGACAAAGCAACTGCAATTGGCATCAAACCCACAAACTTTCACTCCCTCCATCACTGCCACTTCCACCAGTGCAACACATAAATTGGAATGCCACGACTTGCAAGTTCCCCTCCAAGCCACTCGCCATCCTGACTTGGAAGTATTATCGGTGTCGCTAGGTCAAAATCCTGGAATTCCTTCCCCAGCAGCATTGTGGGTCTACCTACAGCAAATGGACTGCAGCAGGTAAAGAGGCAGCTCACCACCGCCTTCTCAAGGGCAACTAGGGATGATGAGAAATACTAGCCTAGTATGTGATTCCGTCTTCTCATGAATAAATAAAAGAATAATGTTCCTTGATTCCCCTTTCAGCCATGATGAACTAATATACCTATTATATGTGGAGGTTTCAATGGGCCAAACTTTGCGTCTTTTTCTTTGAGAAACCTTTTCAGAGTGCTCAGAATGTCACTACAACAACTGAAGTGAGATGCGAGATTCGTAGTAACATGAAAATCCAGCACAATGCCTTTGAAGAAATGATCCATGTATACGTACTTCCAGAACAGCTGCTGAGGCCTTGCTAAGTGCTGCAGTAATCGTTATTAAAAAAAAACTACTGTTCCAAGGGGTCAGAAAAAAAACCTTCTGAAGTCTGGCAGCTGGCAGACGGTATTCCACTTGGTACTGCTGTATATAAAAATTAATGAATAAGCACAGGTTATTGGCAACAGGAGGACTCTTTTAGAGCAGGTTTCAGGACACTCATCAGCAAAAAAAACGTTCAAATCAGCATTTTCTGCAAACATCAAATTGAGGAAACTTCATGTGTTTCCCCTATTTGTCACCTTTTTGCTGAAAAAGTGCCGGAGTCAGATTCTAACACTGGCAGTACGCTCCACAAAAGTAGCTCATCTGAAGTGTCTAATTCTTTATGCTCGGGTCCAGACCGTAAGTACTGGCTAGTTATCTCACTGTGATGGGAATCATAGCTGATGTCTGCATAAATTCCACCAACTTCACTGGATATCGAGCAAAAACAGAAAGCCTGGAAGACTTCCTTCATAAACCCAAGGCATTGAGGTAATTGCAACATCAGTGCTACTGTCCTAACTGTGACTAGTTCGCTTGCTACTCTTAGCTGAAATCTTCCAATAGAGCTCTGTACAAATTAGCCAAATCTAATCACATCTTGGTCGAGGCACGAGTTCTACTGATCCTGATCCCAAGTAATTTTTTTCTTCCCCAGGATCTGGCTCACTTGGAACTATTTTGACATTTTCCACTAGGAGTCTTGTTTCTGTCAGAAAGGCAGGTGGTGGATAGTGAGGTATATGGCTGCAGCGAGGCTGAGAGAATGACCCCTATCTTATACAGTCAACAGCTTATATACTGACTAACAAGATTTAATTATTTTCACAAAAGGACCTTTTGTCTATGCTGTCCATCACGGAAATGTCACAAGCTCAGACAGAATTTTAATTTTTGAAACCCTCACATTGCTTTAGTTACCTGAAAGCAAAGAAGGAACAAATGTTTCTAGAAGGTAGAATTGCTAGGGTTAGAGAAATGGAATGTTTCTGCTATTTACATGCTTGTAATAAATGTGCCAATGTTTGGGCAGACTTATCGGTAGATAAACCTTGTCATGGTACAGAGTGGCTCCTGGTCATTCTGTAGTTATGATAGGGAAACTCTGCCTGTTGCCCTAGAACTTTTGTAAACATCAATTAAAATGCAGTATTTTAGGCATATTTAAAATTGATAGGAACTGACATTCTTGAGATGGGAGAGAGAGAGCTTAACTGTTGCAATTCAGGAATGCTCAGGAATTCGGTACGGCTGTGAAGTTCCTTCTTGAATTAGGATTCAGCCACCTACTCTGTCCTACTTTGCACTCATTTTTGGGGCCAATTCTGGCATCGTTTCACCCTTTCTATTACACCCTCTTCAGCCCTGCAGAAACTAATTGTCCTGAGAACAGGAACCTGTTCAGTTGGGAGTAACACCCAGGGTTCAGATATGCTGAATCAGAGGTTATCTGTTTGATTCCCTGCTGAAGTGAAGTCTTTGTTTTACATTCACCTTCAACTTGTTAAGGGCATGTGGTTGCACCCATCAAGCGCTCCCTCTGGCATGTATCTGACAGTGGAGCAAGTGCCCTGCAATTTTGAGTCTTTAAGAATGAGAAGGTCACTCTGCTTGACAAACACTGACATCTCAGAACATGCCATGTAATTTTGCTTTTCTTAATTCAAATTTCATGGGCCCATGTACAGTTCATATGTACCTTATTGTAGGGAGGTGCACTACAGAATGAATGGCTTAATGCACCCTTTATATCACTGATGTGCTTCAGGAAGTGCTTCACTTTCTCACCATTTTGAAGTTAAAGTTCGACCCCATACTATAGTAAAGATTTTTATACAGAGGAAATGGAGTTGATAATACATTTCATGTATGGGCTGAATCTTACTTTTTATTGGCTAAGCCTCAGAGTTGTCAAGTTTCATGGAGGGTTTCTCTCTGTGAGGTTCAGTAAGTTCTCCCATTTCCCTTACCCTTACCAAATCTGCCTCATTAATTACCTTCCTGCCTTTCAACACCCTTCTTGACCAATTCTAGCCCTGGAAACGACTAGGTTCCCTGGCACCACGTCATTGTGCACCAAGGAAAACACTGTTTCTGCAGAACTACCCTGCCTGGTGACTGACAGAACATGGCAGACAAGGGGAAGTTGGCACCTCACTCTGTGGTCAAGGACCTGGAGGTCCAAGTTGATGCAGTGGTGGAGAGAAGGGATGTTTTTTGCCCCAGGACTGGCAGTGGAAGTCACGAAACCAGACCGTATCAGCCTAATTCAAGATTGCCACCCAGGTCAGTGCAGCCTTAGCCGTCTGGAGGAATGCTTCGCAGTGGAGGTAGAAAGTCAATGACCACCTCCAATCTGCCAGCATAGGTAACACCATCTTCTCGCCGATACATTACACTCACTCTGTCTCTGCTACTGCACCCAACTCCTACCAAGGTTCATGCTCTACCACTCTCACTATTGCCTTCCCTCAATCTCTGCCATCCTCATTAAGTCCCAACACCCTAACCCTGTGAGCCCTCTGCATGGCTATTCATTCAAGATACCTCCCCACCTACACTAACACTAATAACTGTACCTCCCACTTCTGTCTCCCTTACCTATCTTTTTTCTTATTCCATGAGGAAACAGCCCAGTATAAAGCATAAAGAGTCAAAACTATTGGCGTGCTGTCCAACATCCAGCTCCTAGCCCTTTATGAGGAGTGGATCCTGACTGTGCCTGCTCTGAATGACTGATTGACTGACTGTGTTCAAGCCCCTGGACTGGTATCAGAGACTGCTCATGACTTAGCCCTGTATTAGGACCCACTGACCAAAGGCTATCTCCCTTCACTTGATTGAGGCCTGCTGACAAATGTGACAAGCTTACTGCCCTTGTGTCTGCATTAAACAGCACGGCAAGACAGAAGTAATATAAGCCTGCTATCACTGGCTGAGGGGCAAATCACATAAAGGCAAGGCAAGGCATGGAAGCTGTGAGTATCTGGCTAAGGTCAGAGTGAGTGAGCGCTAACAGAGCAAGCAAACAGGCTGGAGATGCAGCTTGGTTCAGTCCATGAGCTGGGTGTACGTCCCTGAGTGCAAAGTGTCCTTGCTGCTGTATTACAACGATAGTAGCCAGTGAAGTGCAGAAGTGTACTTACTGTAAGTGGATTGGAGATGTGCCATGATTGTTCTCAGAGGCTGGTACACGTTGGATGCCAATGTCTGTGAATGTGGGGTGCATGTGGCCAGTGCCGATGTACCATGTGTTGAGATGTTGTTGTGTGGTAACCAACATGGAGGTTCTTTACTGCCAGCAGTGAGTTGAAGTCACCAGGACCTGCTCTCATGTCAAGAATTCTCAGCGTCTGGTTTGCTCATGGTGAACATGACGACAGGAAGCTGCATATTAACGAAGGGAGATGTGCAGCTAATAAGGTTGCTAACAAGCGATAATCCTCCTTAATAGACAACTTGTAGCTGTCTAACAAGAATTGCACTTCATTCTAGTTAAAAGATGCAGCGAGTTGCACCCAATGTTGAGATAGGCCTCGCTGGACTTCTTGCGCAATTCTGCCACATTTCTCACCCTAACCCATATTGTTTAGGCCCCTCCATGATTCCGTCCTACGTTATGAAAGAACTCTTGCAAGCCAAATACTTAGCAGATTGTATTATAGTATGTGCGTCAGTGAATGTTGCACAACTGGACAAACAATGTAGCTAGAAAAACTATCAGACAGGCTCCCAGTAGCCTACTAGCAAATGTAACTGGAGGTGTTTCCACACAAAGAGAAAAGGAAGAGTTTTTCTTTTAAATTCATGAACTCCGATCATCAGAATTTCATTTATCAATATTCTTGTCAGAAATCTCATAATTGTTAATATTCCACCTACTTTATTAATTTATTTTTTAAAAAACTATTTGGTTTTGATTGAGACTCAAAGTTGTTGTGAAAATATGAAGTAATCATTGTTATAGTAATTGTGAAATTTTTGCAGGTTCCAACAGTGGAAGTGAAGAGAAGGTCAATTTAAAGACAGGATTCCCAGTCAGCGATGTTTCCAAAAGGACTGGGAAGGTTGGACGGCAGCCTTCGAGCAGTTCAACAACAACTTGCTGGAGTCTACTTCCTACATCGAAATCCACACCTGCAAGCAGTGAGTATTTACATACTTACTATAAAATGGCTAGAATTGTCTACATGAAGCTTGTGTTATAAAATGTATCAGGTCTAGAAATGACCGTAAAGGAATTATAATCCTCCAGAACCTGCTTTGAGCACTTAATTCAATAAATGAAATTGGAGTGGCTGGGATGTATCTTAGTTATAATGTATTTATTAAATACACAGAGTGGTAAATAATTCATAGCACATATATTTCCTAAATGTTATTTCATGCAGCAATTTTTTTTTAAAAACGTGAACATTAATTAATCTCAAATTGGATTTTCTAGATTGAGGTACCTCGGTGCAGTACTGCATGTTGAGAATAAACCTTCACTGTCACTAATGTTTAATAGCACAAAGGCCAAGAGAGACTTTAAAATTTCTCTGGCACTGGAAAGTTTCATTGTCTGAAAGTCTTCCCCTGTGCCTCTGTAGAAATGTGAGTTTTTGCAGTCTTAAGGCTGGAGTTAACGATCTGGAGTTTATGCCTTAATTTTCCATACCTGTGATTCAGAAGCTGGTGATAAAGCTAATGTTTCCTGTGGTGGTGAGTTTATCCAGTTACAGGTTCTACCTCCCTTACCTGGCACCTTCTGGTCCTGCTGCCTCTTTATGTTTGGATGGAAATGCAATCGTGCAAGGGTCTGTTGTAGTCTGCCATAGTCATGTGACCTCTACCATGTGGCCCACATCCTGGAGGAAGACATCTTAAGCTTCACATCAATAAAGTCCTCGTTTTGAACACATTGCTGTCTTGTACAATTGTAATAATGCTCCACTATTCACAGAACAGTTTCAGTTTCAGCTTTGGTAAATGAAGTAGCTGTTTGGGCCACACTGTCATAATGTATACTTACCCAATCTGCAATAGCATTTATTTTGAAGTTTTTTTTAATTAAATAATTCATTCTGTACTTGTTGCATCCTTCAGTGAGAAAGATTTAGTTTGTTGCTCACAGATGGGTGTGGGAGACCAATAAAATGAACTGCTTCAACTTCACACAGGGAGAAATGCCTCTGGAGCTGTTTAAACACCTCTGTGCTGACCCTGTCACACGACTTTCTGTGGTCTGGCAAATTCTGTGGTTTAGCAAAGGCCTGATCCCAAGGCTGCTGGATTGGGGAGGTACAACTTGTATTAACTAATCAATAGGTTTTCGTGCTAATTCAGATGTTACAAACCAGCCCAGATTTTCACTCCCAATGCAGATGTGGTAGCACAGTGGTTAGCACTGCTGCCTCACAGGGCTTGGATTTGATTCCAGCCTCGGTGACTGTCTGTGTGGAGTTTCCTCCAGGTGTGCTGGTTTCCTCCCACAGTCCAAAGATGTGCAGGCTAGGTGGATTGGCCATGCTAAATTGCCCGTAGTGTGCAGGGTCGTGCAGGCTAGGTGAATTAGCCATGGGAATTTTTTTTTATTATTTATCCACAGGATGTGGGCATCACTGGCTGGACCAGCATTTATTGCCCATCCTAGAGGGCAGTTAAGAGGAAACCACCTTGCTATGGGTCTGGAGTCACATGTAGGCCAGACCAGGTAAGGATGGCAGTTTCCTTCCTGAATGAACATGAATGAAGCAGATGGGTTTTTCCTGAAAATTGACAATGGTTTCATGGTCATCATTAGACTCTTAATTCCAAATTATTATTTAATTCAAATTCCACCAATTGCCATGGTGGGATTTGAACCAAGGTCCCCAGAACATTACCTGGTTCTCTAATAGACTAGCGATAATACCACTAGGCCGTCGCCTTCCGAGGGTGAGAGCATAGTAGGGTGGGATGATGTTCGGAAAGTCAGTGTGGACTCAATGGGCCAAATAGCCTGCTTCCAGACAGTAGCGATTCTTCAGTTCTATGATTCTAGATGTGCAGAGTCAGGAAACGGTCCAGTCTGGCGTCCATCCTCTGGGGGAGGCACAACCTGACCAGCTGGACTTCCATTCCAAGCTGATTTCGTGTGAGCTGGAGTCAGGCCCGCCACCCAGATTAGAAAGGTGATGCAGGGGTTTAAAAGGCCCAGCTCTCCTGTTGTTGTAAACCTTAATAAGCCTTGTACTGTCATTCCTCATACACTCTCATCCCCTTCCCACATACTGTCCAGCCCCATCCATGACCACTGATTTCCTCATGAATCCCCCATGGATTCTCATACCCTCAATGCCAACCCATGCCCCTTCACCCACCCCATTGCCTGTTAATAGTTTCTATAGTGCCCACTCATGCCAAACCATGACCTCCATCCTTACAAACCTTTCCCTTTATACTGACCGTGCCAACTCACCCAGTACCCAACAGGGGGTAATCCTTATATAAGGGTGTTCTATAAAACTCTGAAAGGGTTAATACTAAAGAGTGCCTTAAGTGATGTCGTATAGACCTGACAGGACAACAGCTGAGGATCCTGAAGGACTGAGACTACATTTGGATTTTCCTAACAGTCTCTGTAACAATGTCTGTCATGTGAATGTAACTTGTACATAGTTGTGATCATGCAATGAACTACGTTTTGTTGAAGATAAGAGCTTCCTTGCATTAGAATACCAAGTGGTTTTCCACTCCCATGCTAAGGCACGCAGGCTCTATAGATCCCTAACCTGAAAGAGAATGGTGGCAGTAAGCATACTTTATAGTGAGCTGCAATACCCACTGGTATCATGGTGGGAAGCAGTGCAGATTCCATTTCACTACCTCACAGCACACAGAGCAGTGGAAGTCTGAAGATTTATTCAATCACAGCTCTAGAAATCCTGCTGAAGCAGACAGTCAGCATGAGGAAGATCTGAACATTTGAGACGCCTACAGAAGAGAATCTCATCAAGGCAAAATCTACAATCAATAATAAAAGCATTTCAGACCTAGTAAGAGTTTATCAGGTGGAGAATGTTCAGGACTCTACAAATCACTCTGAGGCAGTTGTGCATTCCGTTGGATGCTGGTAGGAGCAGAGCCCAGGGAACAGCTCAAGACCAAACAGACATCGGGGGCTCCGTAGGAAAGTTAAAATCCCTGGTGGACAAGACAAAACTTTTAAGAAAATAGCCCTGACTTACAGAGTGGAAAAGCAAAAAGTGAGGGAACTTGCAGGTCAATTTAAAGAGCCGGCAACAGGAAAAACGGCTACTGTAATGGAAATCAAGAGCCACATAAGCAATTCAAACCAAGGTTAAAGACCCATGACTTTGCAAAGGCAGAACTGAAGCACTAAAAGTTTATATTTGAAGTCTCAGCAGACAGGGACTGACGGAAGGAGAAAGTTAGGAGATGTTTTTAAGGCCCCAGAAAGGCTAGGAGTCCCATTATTGAAACTACAGTAAAGGCAGGAAGCATTTATTGTAACCGCAGACAGCTGGAATGATTCCAGAAACACTGAGAAAGAAATGTGGATTATTATTAGGTCTGCAGACAGTGAGAGTTGGCCAGGTAAAGCCATGATTAAAGTGGGCATTGTTATTAAAGCTGCAGGCAGTGATTGTTATCCAATAAAACCATTGAGAAAATGGCTGTAATTAGGAAATTTACATCCCCAGAGAGCCCAAAAATAGACTGGAATTCTCCATTAAATCTGCAAAAGGTACAAGTTCTCTGTTTTAGCCATGAAAGGCCAAACAAATGTTGGAAAATGCTCCAAAACAAAGCAAATAAAATTCCTGGAAGAGCAAAATTTGATAGATGGACTCAGTATTCAGGAGAATTAACAGATAATGTCATTAATGATCTCTGTGGGTTAATGGAATTAATGGGGATGGATCTGGGTGGGTTGCTCTTCGGAGGATTGGTGTGGATACGATGGGCCGAATGGCCTGTTTCCCCACTGTCGAGATTCTATGATTATCAGAGATAAACTGATCAGCAGTTCCAACAATGATTCTTTGATTCTTTGTCCAATTTACTACAGTCAAGTGAAGTTTGACTCTAATGGAAGATATACAGATGGTGACTGAAGCCAAAGTCATGAAGCTGCACAGATCATTCCTATTAGGAGAAAATCAATGTTATCAAAAGAGATCAGCAGAATCCATTCAGATGTTAAGATAGAAACCACAAAAGAGACATTTGAGAAACCAGGATAGCAAGTAAAAGAGACATCAGGCAGTGGATGTCCTTATCAGTGCTGTGGAGCATGGAAACATCACAGGCACAGACAATGCCCAGCTATGAAAAAGAAATGCTTTATCCTTAATATAACAGGTCACCTTCAGAAAATGTGCCACATTTGAATTCAGTCACAGAAAAGCAAGAAGTTACGTAGCTACCATCACAAAGAGATTAATGAGGTTGTAGGGCTTACAGTATAAGAAAAGCCGACAGTACTGTTAGAGGAAGTAGGTGATCTAGGCATAGCCTTTCAGCAAGTCAATGGGCATCTCATTAATTTTAATACAGTGGTGTTACTATATTATAACCGATTGTGTGCCATAGTTAAAGAAATACTGTCTTCCGCTGACAACAATACAACTACATGTTCTAGTAAGTATATCACCTAAGATTGACGGTATTCTACAAGCAACTCTGCAACATAAGGTCTGATAACTAGTAGAAGAACTACGCACACTTAGCAATCAAGAACTCTTGCTCTTGAATATGAATGTATGTCTTGATCAAATGGTGGAATGAGTCAAATTGTTTAAAGTTAACAAATTAACTGGTCCAGAAACATCCAGCGATGGTCAAAGAACAACCAATCAAAGGACAACCAGGGGGAAGATCTCATCAGAAACAAAAACAGAAATTGCTGGACAAGTTTAGCAGCTCTGACAGCATCTACGGAGGGAAACAGTTAATATTTTGTGTCCAGTGAACTTTCTTCTGAACAGAAGATTTCATCAGGGTCCCTAGATTCATAGTGAGCCCAAACATAAGACAGAATCCAATGAGATTAGCTTTGCTGGCAAAGAAATTGGTTTCATACTAGAGGAAAACTTGCAATTAATAGAAATACTTTCCACTGCTCTCAACGCTGAAGAGAGTTCAGATTGCAAGGATCA